TTCAGCTGCCAATTCACATGTCCTGTCATTCCATATGTTGATTTGGACTACTACCTCTGTGCTTTCGGAATCTGTCTAGATCTCATTCAAGCATAATCTAGTGGATAGTGAGTCATACACTGGGAGACCTGTTCGAATGGACTAAACCTCGAAAGCCCCAAGGTTCACAATCATCTTGTCCGCCCCTGTTTCTCAGTTTTTTTCGTGGAGGGCCATACTTCCGTACTTCAAAGTGGGTGCCATTGGTTGACTTTACCAATGTGGGAATGTAATGGGTTCCAGGTTCTCTCTAAGGTCCCATTCTTGACGCTTCGTTAGGGATATGCTTTCTGCCTTTCGCGGTATCCTGACTGTGTCCATTTATCACACCTGCGGTGGGACAGGCGGACTAGTTAAGTCGCGCCAAGGCTGCCCCTAGAATCCGGCAGTGCCACTTTTTGCCCTTTTGGGCAATGATTCATTTTAACTGTTTACGGTGACGAGGGTGTGCCATGTTTCTTCACGGTACTAGATAGCTTCTGCCATTGCTGGTCATTTACCGCGGGTCTTTGTCCTTCAAGGGTGGGCCTGCCTTGCCATGTCAGCTCGTACCCCCTCTTGGCCCTGACACGTGTCACTTTGTGGTCAGCACACGTGTCCCTATTTTATAGGTCACTACACTCTATACTCGAGGAGAAACTAAAAAAAAAAAACTTTGTTTGGTTTTTTCATTGCTTAGGTCATGGATAATTAACTACAAGATCTTGGAAGGTATGTGTGATTAGTTAATCAGATACGTCAATCAATTTACACCGAGACCAACATTTACTTCATACTCTTGGATTTAATAAAGGTGAAGCTATAGTCTAGATTTCACCAGAAATTTATTCCTTCCCCTTCCCCCCTCCCCCATCATCTTCTCCCTGTCTTGGTTCAATTTGCTTTCCGGTAATGGTTGGTAATGGGTATCCCTGGTTGATAAATTTTTATTACTTATTATTTGAAATACTATTACCGTTAAATCAGTTGAGTTATTAAACGGATATCATTGGCTCATCTAGTCACCATTCTGAGTGTGATGAACATTCTGGGATGGTTGACAGGCTTTATCAGCAGCTATCTACTGGTTGAACTTACAGGTGGCAGCATATTCCTGAACGTGTCATGGCTCCCAAGTTTATGCTTGAGTTCTCTCTACTCGTGTTGCTCCTCCTGTTGCTTAGCAAGGTCATGGGATAAGGAGGGCTCCATCAGTGAGATTTGATGGATGAATCTGCGGCGATCATCGATGACAAATATTGGCTAGAGGGGTCCGAGTGTTCAATTTGACAAAGGTATTGAGTTCATAACTTAATGCACAATCTGCCCTGCCTTACCTGTTCCGTCGGCTGCAATTAGGCCTTGGAGTTGATTCTCCTATTGGTTAGAATTTAAATTCTACACTTGAGTCATGGCTTATTCCTTTCGCGTTGGCGCGTGGGAGTAATTTTTTCGGCAAGTTCCTTCATAAATTAAATATTGTACAGAGCTGGTTCTTTTTGGGTAATATAGGTAATTGTTATTTACTCAATGCGGCTTTTTCTTTGTGTTGTCTTTGTAAGGAGTAACAGAGAATATTGGATCATTTTAATTTTGCAGACTAATGATCATATGACAGGTTTCATCCTATAAAATTAGTTACTGTCATTGCAAATCGAATCATGCTACTTTTTTTTTAGCCCCTTCCACTGCTGTTGTGTAGTTCAAGTGGACTGTGAAGTGATGTACAAAAATGCCTTACGTTGCTGATTGCAAATGCTCTTTCCTTTGAGCACTTGATTATGTTCTTGTTTCCATATGGTTTGATCAATCTTCTAAGCATGTTTGTAGCTGTAGAACTTAATAATGAGCCATGCATGGTGAAAAAAGGGTTGGCAAGTGGGGTGATTTAGACAGGGTAGTAGCAATCTAGCGATGATAACTGATATTCACTAAAATTATATACATCTATCTGATTTTTTTTTTTTAATAAAAACATCTTATGATCCATTTGGTAGGATCGATGAAAAAAAATAGAAAGATGATAAGTGGGACTTATACATTTTTTTATCATTCAATGAAAAAATCTTTCCTTCCCTTTGTTGTATTTTGGTAAGAGAGATAAAGAAGGATTGATTTTTTTTTTTTTGTGTTTGGTAAGAGCATTTTCATCCCTTAAAACTTTTTTTGTACCAATTTTTAAAAAATTTAAAAATTTTCTCTGGTGCTACACTCATACTTATATCAAATGAAGTGAAACTCTTTTTTAAACTCAAATTAAGAGTGACTCAAATTTTATCCTTTTCACTAATGATGATATTACACTCTTCTTTAAAGATTCAATAGTCATATTTACTCTATTTTAAATTTGGGTTTATCCTCATTTTAAAAAAATGTTTCTCTTCCTTTAAATTTAGATTTTTCCATTGGAGAGGCCTATACCAAATATAAGTGTTTTACCTTTTTTTTTTAACTCAAATTTGGGTAAGGGTTTAAGTCTTCATTTAAGATGGTCTAAGATGGAAAAAATATTTATATAATAAAGTTTAATATAATTTAAATTTCAAAAGATAAACATAATAATTTTTGTTTTTTGTGGTTGACATATTTTCAAATTTTTACTTTAAAGTTAATTCGACAATAATATTAACATCTTAAATTTAATAGGAAAAATAGATTCTTAAAGGGTATGTTTAGGGTGACTTTTTTATAAATGTTTCTAGAACTTATAACTTTTTATAAATACTTTTTAAAAAAAAAAGTAATGTTTGAAAATGTCCCACCACTACCATCATCGTCCCAACACCATCACCATCATCGCTACCACTACCACCGCCACCCCACCACCATAACTATCCCCACTACTACACCATCTCAATTACTATCACCACTACCACCACCACCACTATCGTTGTCACCTTATTACCACCTCTACCACAACAACCGCCACCATCTCTGCCTCAACAGCCACCACACCCCCCACCACCATCATCACCACATTTGCCACAACAATCATCACCACCACTGTCCCACCACCATCAACATTGCCGTCACTATCACTATCGCTGTCGCCACCCTACCATCATTGTCATTATCTCACCATCAACCTTACTATCACCATCTTTACCGCCCCACCCCCACGATTATCACCACTATCCACACCATCGTCATCGCCTCCATCACCAATGCCACTGCCCCACCCCCACCCCCACCCCCACCCCCACCCTATTACTATCCCAACCATCACCACTGATTGCTATCACTGTTGTCCACCACCTCTATCGTAATCTCATTTTTATATTTATTAGCACTACCATTATCATTCTATTACCCCTATCAGCACCCACCACCACCATTGTTGCTCATTACCACTCGTAGTCATTTACTATCGCCGCCAACCTCTGTCACCCACCCTCACCACACTAACCACTCGTCATCGCCCACCACTGTTGCCACCCACTGTCACCTATCTCCACCACACCTACCACTACAACCACCACTCCTATTTACCACCACCCACTACACTATAGCCCAAAAGTACTCGTCGTCACCCATTACCACCATCATCACCGTCCATCACTACAACTAATCACCACCACCACCACCATCGTTGCCCTACCACCGCCTACACCCACTTCCACCACTGCTGTCGGGTTGTCATTACCACCACGCCACCTAAAACTCACCACTATCATTACTATTGTCACTCACCACAACCATCATTGTCTTCCATCACCACTACTGTCGCCCACCACCACTACCACCGTTCACTCCCATTACAATTGCTGCTTAAATTCTTTTATCTTTTCCTTATATTTGAAATTTGATTTTAAATATGAGTACAAATATATTTATTATTAATAATTTTTTTTATTACATCGTGCCTTTAGACGAGAACAATAACTAGTAAATACATATTTTATCAATATATTTATATAGAAAATTAATTTATATCTAATATGTAATTGATAAATTTGATATATGTATATATCAAAAGATATATAGACAAATAATATACATTTTAACACACATAATTAGCTTTAATTCATTTTTTCTTCCAATTTTAAAATAATCGATTTTGGTGAGTTGGAATGACAATTCATTCATTTACTTTTCTATCATTTTTATTTTTTATTTTTTATCAATTATAATATTTTATCTATTTTTTTTAATTTTTCATTATTTTATTATTTCATCGTGCGAAACAAAATATTACACTGATGAGAGTTTTTGACATTAAAGTGCTGCAATGACATTCAGACATGATAGGACATTAGTGCATTAATGTCTCTTGTTTATTGTGAAAGAAAAAAGTATCGATGCTTTGAAGTATATTCCATTCTTACAATAATTATAATACACATAGAGGTATCCACAATTACTGACGTCGTAACACTTATGCTCCTAAGGATAATAGGAATAAGGATAATATGAATGATAAAAAGTAAGAAAGATACATTTTTTATTTTTTAAAAATGAAAAATATGAATGATATACTCTCCTTCATTTGTTTTTAGTTGTATGGATAGAAAATAAAAATGACTAATTTTTTTTTTGTGATAGCTAAGATTAAGATTGACAATTAAATCGTGTCGTGTCAGATTCGTGTTGAGTCATAAAATTATGAGTTTTTTATATTTTTTATTCAGGTGTCTGGTCATTTTTAAGTTCGTGTTGAGTTATAATCAAGTTCGTGTCATAAAATTTGTATCGAATTTGAGTCGTATCATTATGTTGAGTCGAAAATTTTTACCCCTATTTAAGATGAAAAAAATATATTTTTTAATTTAAAATTTAAATTTTTTTAATTTATATATATATATATATATTATATTTTTATATGAAATTAATATATACAAATAAGATACATCTCAACACAAATAATTAATTTTTCATTCATTTTTCTTCTATTTTTGGAGGAATTAATTTTAGTGAGTTAGAAGGAAAGTTAATCCATCCATTTTTCCATCCTTCCTTACTAAACATAATATTTTATCTGTCCTTCAAACTTTTCATCCTTCTAACTTTCTATTATTTTATTTTTCCATTTGCACCAAATGGTGCATTATAAAAATATGGCTACCAAATTATTTTACACGACGATCCTTGTTCTTTCAAACACTTGATCATTGTGCAACAGCATCAGTCATCTCTGTTTCTGTAGCTTCACTATTCTTTTTCTTCATGTATTTGAACTCACCATAGAAGTAGGAAACAAAACCCCAGAGAGAGAGGACAAGAGCAACACCCTTTTCTGCTTGGAACTTCTCTTGGTAAAATATAACAGCTAATACCTCCGTCGCCGGAAGTAGGACGGCGATGATGATGCCGGAGAGCAACGACGATGCACAGAAGATGACTCCTATTGCTCCTAAGAAGAAAAATTGCCAAATGATGCCACTGCACACTAGCACCACATAGTACTTCGTTTCCCCTAATCCAAACTCTCTTGCCTCCCTTGAAATTGCCTGCAAAATCCTAATGTGTTAGTGTAATTGGAAGAAAAGGATTCAATTTTGAACAAAGTTTCTAGCTAAGTTTTATAGAATGGTAATCAATGATTGTACGAGCGTTGTTTCCATTTGAGTTTTTCCCTCGGAATGAAGAAACCTTCCAATAAAGCACCCTCGTGGTTGTGACATAAACTCTGAATGTGTACAATAATTTTCAAACTAAATATAGGGGTTCTATTGGAAATTCAGATTTAAAATCTTGAGATATCAAACTCTAAATACTTTCCGTTGAATCCTAAAAGGTAGTATAAGTGGTAACAAAGACGAGTTATAAATTTAAATATCTTGAGTTTGAATTGATAACCTCTTAAGGTCAAGTAATAAAAGATTTATCTCTTATGAATATTATAATTCTAGCATGGATGATCTACTTTTGATTGGATCAATAAAAAAATTAATTAAATTACATATAAATTAATTTAGATATCCTTGACCTAAACACTTTAACTAAGAACGCGTAAAATAATTTTGGTTTAGGCATTAGGAAACGGACCCCCATTTTCTCTCTCCCATTCACACACACACACACACTAAAACAAACAAGCAAACAAACATGGTAAGTAAGCGTCTATCCCTCGGAAAGTTGGGTCAGATGGGAAAAATATATTACAAGATTCCTAGTTCCGAATGGTAGTATTCTTTCCAACCCTGGGACCACGTAAAGCCGCTTTAGCAAAAAGTATCTCATAAGAACCCAAAAAGAAGACTTCTTTGCCTTCCGATATGCACTGTGCTAGTTTCTGAACTGAATTGTTCCATTGTTTTCTTAAAGCCACTGTTACATTGAATTAGGTTACGATACTAGGTTGTCAAATTAGTTCTAAATAACATTTTTCATATACTTTAACGGAATAATTGTTCTCATAATTGAAACGTTAGAACATTTCCAATTCTTACAATCTTTACCCCTTTTTTTAAACTCAAATTTAAATTTGAATAAAAAGAACTCAAAAACATTCTCCAATGATCCAATATTATACCCAAACTTATACCAAATCAAAAGAGATTCAAATTTTTATTCAAATCATAGTGAGATTTTATACTTTTTTTTAAATATTCAATGATCATATTTTATTCACCTTTAAATTTGAATTTTTGTTTTTAAAAATTTGAGTTTGTCCATTAAAATCTTTTGTATCAAATCAAATATTTTACTCAAATTTATGGTTTTACACTAAACCATTTTGCCTTTATGCATACTAAAACCGAAAAACAAATTGAGTTCAAAACTTGTACAGTTTACACATCCTATGCTTTTGTCACAACAGTGTAAAAAAATATGCATAGACATGTCTAGTGTCATGTGCACAGGGGGTTGGGCTCCCTTCTAATTTAAAATTTTGTCTAATTCACTTTTAATGGCCAAGATCTACACCTTAAGTAGATTTAGCAAACAAAAATACAACGCTATAGGAAACAAGAAAATAAAGAGTAATACTCTTTGGACTAATTTATTGACATAAAATTATTAATCTAATTTGTTATAGACTTTGAATTGATTCTAGATCTTATTAAATATTAAAACTTGGTGTTAATTTAATTGTTAAAATAAAATAATTAATTTAAAATTTTCAAAGTAAAAAAAAAAACACAAAAATCTTATCTAGTTATCTAGCTCACTGCAACAAGTCTCCTTCTTTGTATCAACCTTATCTAGTGATAACTTCCACCAGGCAAAGGAGGGCCGTGTGTGTGTGAAAGAGAGGAAAAATAAGTAAAATGGACTCTATTATTTCAAAAATCACCCTTCATGAAGGATAGTAATTGCCTTTACTTGTGTATTTGTTTGTTTATCAGGTAGTTATACTATACGATAATACTGACTTATCACGTGTGTAATTATTTAATTATATCGACGGTTAGACCTATTATTTAAGAGAGAGAGAGAGAGAGAGAGAGAGAGAGAGAGAGAGAGAGAGAGAGCGACCTTGAAGTCATTGTTAAGAAGCATCCCCACAGTGCAGACAAGAGTGGCGAAAAAACACATCACCATCTGAACCTCCAACACCACCGTATAGGTGATGGCCTGCTTTGCTTTCATATATGTCAACTCAACCAAAGGCAGAATAAAACCGTACAGCGCCGCCGCAGCCACCGTCATGACAAACCCTAAAACATACTCTCTGTTCGACTCACCCTTCGGCCGATCACCGCTAGTGTGAAGAGCCAAAACCGCAGCTCCGACGGATAACAAAAAGATAGCGTTTATGGAGTAAGAAGTGAACTTCTGCTTAACAAGAAGGAAAGCGAAGCCAGCGGTGAAAGCCAGTTGGGTGGCGATGATAAGGGCAGAGGTTGAAATGGGTAGGCGTGCGACGCCGTAGGCATATAAGTAGTCATCGAAGCCGGTGAGGAGGCCAACGACGGCGGAGGCGATGAAGAGGCGTGGTTTCATGAAGAAAAGCTTGGCAGTGGCGGCGGAGCTTTTAGTGGCGCGGCGGTGGAAGTAGGCGACGAGGAGGGGGATGAGAATGAAAGGCCACCCTCCGGTTTCTAGCCAGCTTGACAGCCATACTCTGTCTCCTCCGTGGATGAAGTAGAGGCGCATGATTAAGGGGCCACCAGAGTTTCCGATGGAGAGTATAATACAGTTTATTATAAGGAGGATCGTCTTCATCCTCGAGCTAACTAGAACTTCCATATTCACCTATGTGGAAGCTCTGTGTTTGAGGGAAAGAAATCTGTAGGATCTATCTATGAACAAAGTATTCGAAAGGCTGATCTCTTTTAGTCAATGAGAAGAATAAGATGAGGAAGATAGTTAGAGCGAATATATGGCTATAATTTATACCGAAAGTTATGGGAGAGGGACGAGGGAGTCCATATATAGGAGTAGAGTTGTACACTTCTTTAGCATTATGATATGTTGTAATCATTGAGATGAGGCTCTAATTTATTTTTGGATGAATAATTTTTTTATTTTTTATTTATTTTTAAATATTTAAATTTATATCTTTTAGAAGGTATATTTAAGGTGAAAAATAGCTTACAAAATAAACATATTATGTAATTGATTATATTAAAATCAACTTAACTTAGAAGTTATAATTCAAAAAAATAAAACTTAATAAATAGATTAGAGTTATCGCAAATTTAGAAAAAATAAGAGTGTAGAGTCTTGTAATTTTTTGTACAAAAAATATGGTGCGCCTTTTTTTTGGATTGTAAGTATATTTATTATTTTAAAAAAAATATTTAGGCAAGTCGGGGACTAAATAGTTTTAAAATCTTTTTATTATTTTACGAAACATCCTGAGTTTTCATATTGTTTTAAATTTATTCAAAAAAATTTGTGCTACATATGCGAACAGATACTTAGGCAAGTCGGGGATAGGCGACCGCCTCACTTGCCTAGAAATAGAGCCAACATTGGTTGTAATCGCTCAATACTAACTCAACAATTAAGCAGAATTCGATATTTAAAACATGGGTTTACTTGCCCATTTATTTAAATTTGAATATGATTCTGTAAAATAATTTATTAGTATTTAACTTAATTATGTTATTCATATTGAATTTTTCGATTAATCGATTCACATTTGAATTTGAATCGATCAAAATATTATCTAGACAAGCCTGCCTACTTAAGTTTGTATCTAACTTTTATGTGGTTTCTAAATCTCTAGGGCCTTAGATATATTTCACATAAAATTTACTGTCTACAATTATTAACAATAGTAACAGTAAAACATCAAATGAACATCACATGTCATACACACATATACATATATATATATGAATTAAATCTCTAAAAGATGACCTAACATGCAATTGAATGATTCAAATGTAAATCATATTGATCAATACATTGAACTTAAAAATGCCGCTTTTACTAATAAGGGAAAGAAAGCTTCAACTAGAACAATATCTTTTTTTTGTGGAGATGTAGCTAAGTGTCCGACTCTAGTAGGGGCGGAGCCAAGAATTTTACTCAGGTGAGCACTTTAATTATGCATTATAATTTTATTTCTTTATAACCAATCACATTATATAATATATTTATATTTATTATATCATATTTGATACATGAAGTCCATTTAACATAAAAATGCCAAAAAATAATATATATTCTATATATATAATGACTAATTATCACAATTGTAAAAAAGTGAAGCTTATTGTCATTTTTATAATTAAAACATATCATTTATTTACTAACAATTTATTAAATTTAGTCAATAAACAATGTTTCAAACATTATCACTGAAATATTAGCATACTAAAACTACTAAATTAAAATTTAAGAGCTTAACATAGTAAAAAAATTGAAAATTGATTGACACATAGTAAAAACTATAATCAATACTCGAATAAAAATAGAGATGATTTCTCGTAAAAAAAAATTTAAATGAATGTCAATTGCAAGAACCTCACTTGTAAAAATTTATAAATAAAAAATTAAAGTTAATACAATAAAAAAGATTAAACAATTGAAATAAGTAAATTATAGGATGGATACAAATAAAAAATATATTTATAACTTTTTGAATATAATATGAATATACATATAATATTTAAAAAAATGAGGGTCGGCTCCACCTATATCTATTAATCATAGCTTCTTGCTGCTGTAGCCGGTGCTCGTTTGCCTGCACATGTGAACCAACCCAACAAACAAGAAAATGATGTCTCTCGGGGCATCTGAAAATATTCGACCCGTATGAAAAGAAACTCTCATCATAACATTAGAGTCAACTTAGTTAAAACTAATCCTTTAATTGGGACTCATAATATTGAGAAGGTTTTTTTTTGTTTCAAGAATTGGTGATGGATTTAGATAGAGGAATTTAAAAAAATACAAATAAATAGATTACAAAACATGATTATCTCAATTATAATTCAGATTTTGATCAAAATTATAATTCAGATTACAAAAAATAAAGTAATAAATTTTGAGGACAGAAAATGCAATTTCCCCATATAAATTTGCCGGTCCTTGGGATGACTCTGGTCAAAGAATCACGCTGTGAACAGCTGGATTTTTCTGCTCAATTCTTCCAACACATGGTTGTGCTTTTCTTTTAGCTTTCAATCTAATGCGGCTTGTGCTATTTCACGTCGGATAGTTTCAGATGTGTGTGTTTATAAGTTTTCACTTGATCTTTATTTTGTTAGAATAAATGGTTAGGTGTGAATCAAAAAATCGAATAGGGCCAAAACTATGAACATATTCTTTATTGATGTGAATTCCATATACCCCATCTCCAATTTTTGATAATGATAATTGAATGAATTGGATAAACGTTGTTGCCTTTTCATGCCCTACATGTTTTTTGTTTTAAATATGCACAGTTTCCAACTCACCCATCTTCTTTCAGCACCAGCCACTGTGGCTCATGGAAAATGGTATGATGATTGAGTGGTGTATGGTCATTGTTGAAGAAATAATTAATATAGACTAAAAAGCACTTTCAGTCCATCATTGTGAATGAGTAATTAGTTTGTAATCATCAATTCTTTGTCTATATTCCCTCTTTCCTTAATGCTTATTTCAAGAAGTTTCAAACGGTATAATGTTAAACAATTATTTATGTCAGAAGTTTAAATTGTTGCAGAGTGTGTAACTTTAGTATATATATTTCGACACGTCTCATTATGTACAAGCTACATTTTAGACTTAGTACGTGAATTTTTTTTAATAATTAAGTTGGCAACATGATTCAAACATAAGATCTTTTGTTTTAATACCATGTTAAATAATCATATACTCCAAAATTTTAAATTATTAGAGAAGGTGTAACTTAAGTATTTATATGCCAACATATAGTGCATCCTGGTGCAACAATAATCAAATGACATTTTTGAAAAGTGAAGTCTTGGAGCGTACCATTATAAGTTTTGTGATTTTTAAAATAAAGTTTGAGGATTAATTATTATTTTTTAGCATTATTTATAATTTTGGAGATCATTTATAATTTTTTAGGGTTATTTATTACTTTTGAAGATAATTTACAACTTTTAAAGTTAATTAGGATCGTTCAATTGTAAGTAATCTTTAAAATTATAAATGACCCTCCAAAAATTATAACTTGAACCATAAAAGTTGTAATATAATATCAAAAGTTATAAATTTTTTTTTGTTGTAAACAAATCCAAAATTTTTTTATTTTCGCCCACAAAATTCATAATTTTTGACAGTGTGGTACCCATTTTTTTTTTTTTGATACCATAATTGTCTCTTTAAAAAATGGAAAACATTAGGAGAGAAGTCTATGGTACTGATTTTTTTTTTTGTACCTTACCATAGAAGTACACAAGTTTTGTGGGTTAAAATACAAATTTTTTGGTTTGCTTACAATAATTTTTTTTTACAACTTTTATGATTCAAGTTATAACTTTTAGGGATCCTAAAAATTTTACAATTGATCCCAAGTAACCTAAAACATTGTAAACAACCCTCAAAAAGTTATTAATGATTCTCAAATTTTGTTAACCATAAACTTGTAAATGGTGGTACAATTTTGATTTTTTTTTTTTTTTTCAGTATTGTAGATTTCTCTAACATTAGGATATATTGGTTGAGAAGTGCAATCGTATAAGCTCTGCACCATAGTCTTTAGTGAGAACCTTTTATTTGACCCAAATCATGATTCAACGTTCATTAATTAAGTAGCCAAATATTAAATATAAAAAACTACCAATTTATAATATGAACTAAAAAAGAAAGTTCAGCAACCTATTCATTATAATTCCAATCATATATGGAAAATTTATTTCCACTTCAAATGAAGTTATCACCTTATCCTTGCTTAGTTTTTTTTTTTTGGACAAATAGTTGTTTTCTGAACTGTACTCATGGGTTCTTCATGATTGCATTGAGAACCTTTGTTTCTTGGAAAACAAATAAAAAATCTGTTAAATGAAGATAAAGAGTAATGTTCTTAGGATATAAAAAATTGACGTAATTTATTGATATACTAACGTGTCAAGTGATAACAATTATAGTTATAACAATATTGTTGGACCTTGTCACTGTCATATCATTAACTCAAAAAATTAGGCCAATTTTTTAAATTTTAATAACATTATTATGTGATAAATATGCATATATTGGTATATAAAATCATGCTGATGTTGTGCATGTCTATAGTTCTTGTTTTTGAGAATTGGACATCCTTCACAGAGACCAAACCATCAATCTGGGATCATGCAAATTTGATGAAGGTGCCTTGTGTGGAGTAACCCAAACAAAAGTTACGAGAAATTGAAAGCTTCAAGTTTTTGCTTTTCTTTTTTTTTTTCCCTTCTTCAATGTCCATGACTTCACATTGCCAAACAATAGTTTTCTTTTTCTTATTTTTCTAAAGATTTAGTTTGAGTACGATTGTAAAAGTAATTCTCATATATTATTGAAATCTAATTTATTGACCTAATTTGCTGACCTAATTCACTTTGACCTTTAGATTGATTATAGAGTTCATCAAACATTGAAACTTGGTGTTGATTCAATGGTTCTATTGAAGCCATATCATTATGTTAGCAAATTAGGTCAAATTTTTAGGTCCAAATAGTATTATTCATTAATCATTAAAACTCGGTGTTGATTCCTATGAAGCTACATCATTATGTCAACAAATTAATTCAAATTTTTATGTTCAAATAATATTATTCTATATTATTAGAACCGCACTTAACAGGTTGTCGAACTTTTCCTTTTAGTTCACAGCCCTACTTGGTAGGTTTTTATATTAACTTTTAGCTTATCTGATTAGTG